ATATATAGAAATAGTTAAATATAATGATGAAGGAATACTTGGAGAATTTGTGCCTCACAGGGTAGATCGAAGGCACAGGGACAGTCAGAGACAGTGGGTCACCTATCTGCGTAGCTTATATGAATGGATGACAAAATTGGAAGTAGGGGAGATGGTAAAAAAAACAAAGCTTTCTCAGAGCTAAAAGAGACGGGAAGTTGTGGAGAGCCATATTCGTCCACGCACTAAAGGGTACGAGACATAGAAGACGTCGTGTGAGTGCTGATTGCCTTTTTGTATCAAGATGATCAATCGGCTGTTGTAATGAAATGGTTGTGCTGGACAATGAATGCTATGACGGGGGTTCTGTTCATAATGCAAATACAGTATCAAATTGACCCCTGACTTCTTAATGGGTTATTTTACATTCTTTTCATTTAGAAATGTCATATTTTAAATGGTACTTACGTCAATGATAACTGGTTATATATATATATTTTTTTGCAATTTTGTAAAAGCACGCAGGTATCAATAAAGTTGGTAAAAATTCAAACTTGACATTTTTAAATAGAAAAAAAATAAACGTACAGATCATTCTTTATTAAATCAGGGACTGATTTGAGAGTTATCTTATGAACAGGATCTCTGCTTCTAAATGATCATATTACAGTTCTGATAAATGCCATGGCTTGAGGAAGTCACTAATCCATTTAAGACGACCTTGTAAGCAGCAGATCTACCAATTCATTGTACATAATCGCTCCAATTCATATCAGTAGAAAGTGTGAGACCATGAAATCGCAATGAGTTTCTCTCCTAATGCTGATGGAGGGCCTCTTTCTTTTTGGTGATAGAATTTACTGTAAAAGCTGCAGGATTGCAGTTGTAGTTGGGTCAATCCATAGAGTGATCATAATAAAAAGATAATAACGCATGTATAAGATAAGTGGAGATGAAACCGATGTTGTTTCTGAAGTCCTTGCGAGACCCGGAAATGAAATGTCAAGCAAGTGAAACCAATAGAAGAGTTTCAAATTCCGATTGCCGAGGGCAGAAACAAAACCATAGCTGGTGTCTGGATCAAACATGACAGCACAAATGCATTTTTTTAATAATAATAATAACAATGGGTTTCTTTCAACTGCCTATGACTCAGAATATCGGATTTAGCCGGAATTATCCCCCGCTTCCCCCTTACAATAAACCACTACCGGAATACGAATTAAAACCTGAAATAAAGTCGGATATCGCCATCCGCGGATAACCAACTGCAGTTTCACTTATCCACGGTTAGCACAATCATCAAAATTAAACAGGAAATCTCCCAGCTATGGACAAATTATAAAGCAGGAGGGAGAGACAGATCCTAAACAGGTAGAGTAACGGCTACGGACGCAGAAAATGGAACGAGTGAAACTGAGTTCAAGTTCCGACCTAATATGTTGCATTTACTTTCTCACAAATGTCACTGGGAAATCCGTCTTTTCTCCTTGGGTTATCAGACTGGGTTCTTTAGCCGTGGATAATAATTAGCCTAAAAGAAAGTAAACTTCCAAGAATTCCAAGCCGTGTAGAAAACAACAGGAAACCACTGCACTATATTTCCCCAGAATGCATGGCAATTCACTGATAATAAATAAAAGGAAAATGTGGAAAGACATAATCGCCTATATCCAGAAGGGATATATTTTAACTTAATAATAGTAATAAACTGAAATAACGTTACAAATATATTTCCAAAGAGTAAACTGTAATTCAAAGAATTTAGGTCAGCTGAACAACGAAGTAAATTCTAAGCTTAGAGTAAAAAAATAGTTTGAAATAATTTACCATTCTGGAGACTTGAGGTTAATAATCGGATAAGAGATTTATCAGGTTTAAATGAATTAAATCCCTAAAAATTCACTGCCAAGTGTTACAAGAAATATGACTAAAGGTAAAGCTTTCCAAAATAGAAGTTTGGAAACTGGAATGAATTACCTCGTGCAGACTCGGAATTTCTTCATAAAAATTCAGAATCTGGAATTAGTAAATACCAAATACTTCAGGTACCTCGGTGTATGGATCAGTTATAACAAATTTAGAATAGGCTGAACTCGAGGTAGAATTGTCCAAACAGTGACGAAGTTAGAAATGGCGGTTCGCACAGAGGTTGGGACATATTTATGGGAGACAGCACTTTTGTGTCTGTTGTAGGCTATAAGCCTGTATAGGCTGTATTGAAATAAAAGTTGTCTTAATATCAGAACAGTACTCAGAGTTGAAGTATCTTTTCGATTTTGAATATATACATATTGGCCTAACCTACTGTCCAGAGAGCAACAATTGACAAATGAAACAGTTTTTGATGATGTCATTGAAGAATTTGCCAATCAGAAAGCAAGAAACTTTACTTTGTAGAAAGTTGTAATTTTCATTTAGATATTAAAGATTTTCATTTTATGACGTTTTGGGTTTTTAACTGTTACTAAGAAAGTTTAAGTATATTTGGTGTGTATTTAAAGCATATTATATTTAGTAATATTATAATGCATACTATATTTAGTAATATTATGATGGTACACAAACTAGTTTAATAACTTTAACAGTAAATCACTGTACAATGCGTATTTTTTGTGGGGGCGACAAACTCAAGGGCTGTTCTGGGTGGCACCAACTCTAGCTATATCACCGTGACCAACACCACAATATAATACAAAACCAAAACATTGACCTAAAATTTCGAGTCATGTTATTAAATATCTTTATGAATTGAAAAGTTTCATATCAATATCAAGAATGTCTCCCAAATTACTCAGAAATGTCTAAACACTAAACTGTATAGAACCGCTTTCTCAAAAATGGCTACGAGAGACTGAAGCTCCTATCTCTTAGAGAGAACTACCGTTCTTCAAACTTCGTGGACTGGCACGACAGAATGAAACACAAAGAACTGTACCAAAATGGAGAAACCACATTACTTGAGGATTTCCAGCAGCAGAATCAACTAAAATGAATAGCACAGGTAATCGAATACAAAGTAGTAACATAATCAAGATGTCGACATTGAACACTACTTCAAACAAAAGGTTAGGAAGGAAACGTCCATCGATACTGAAAAGAGCGATAACAGCTACTGGGCTTGAGAAGAGAAAATAATGACATAAGCCAGATGTTGACATTCCACACTACTTCAGACAAAAGGTTAGGAAGGAAACGTCCATCGATACTGAAAAGAGCGATAACAGCTACTGGGCTTGTGAAGAGAAAATAATGACCTAAGCCAGATGTTGACATTCCACACTACTTCAAACAAAAGGTTAGGAAGGAAACCATCATCAATACTTGAAAGAACGATAACAATTACTGGACTTGAGATATGAAAATATTGACGTAAGCCAGATGTTGACATTCCACACTACTTCAAACAAAAGGTTAGGAAAGAAACCTCCATCAATACTGAAAAGATCGATAAGAGCTAATAGACTTTGTGGGAAAATGAAATAAAAGCAATAAATAAAATTGTTTATAAACAACTAAAAAGTATTGATAAATTCATTTTCCCATGATGCAAGCAATAAAGGAAGCGGAAAGAGTCTTTGTTCACATGCGCAATTTTATGACCCCATTTCCGGAAAGGACAGAATCTTTCTCTTTTCTATCCCAAAACAGTGTTCGAACTTCTTTGGGCAGCCCTATTCATGAAGTAAATGAATTGGTCGTTTCAGCTCAGCGCAAAGCTGACTTGAGCACAACCAATGTTCTCCTAAAAACGAAAGAAAACCGACATACCCAAGAGACATTGAGAACTTTGTTTCACTACAGTCACCATAAAAAAATAAACGATCTATAGTAAAAACCCAATTTTTGTATTTTTTTTTTTGTTTATTACATATGAACACACACACACTTAAAAGACACACAAATACGCAACCTGTTAACCTCCATAATTTATTGGACAGTAGGTGAATTTGAGAAACCTATTTTTCTGAGAAATTGTTTTAATAAAAATATTTTATAAATTTTAACTAACAGTAGAATTGGCTGTTCGGTCAATGAATGTCGAATGTTTCCTTATAAGGAGACGTTGCATATTACTGTTATCATTTAGTTTCAAGACTGTTGTTCATAGTAGATGGCACAGTTGGATAATTCAACCTGAGATTCGGTTTCTTTCGGTTTCCCTGTATGGAATTTCGAAACCAGACTTTATTGTCGAAACACGAGAGATAATAAGGCGTTCATTGTCCTGATCTGCATAATATAGCCACTTGTATTCGAACCAGATTTTCGTCTCTGAGAACAAATACAGATTTCATCCCATCTATTTCGTCTGCTTCAATTCGGCCCAGTGTAACCATCTTAAACTCTCGGCGTATTTAAGGCGTTCTTCCTTCGGCTCGTGCACAGGAAATTACTTGGACATAAACCGAGACGGAAGCAAAGTCTCCTTGCTCGGAGTGTGGCTGGTGCTGGGGCATGGCAAAATATAGCGATAGAAGAAATGGAAGTAGAAATGGATGTGAGATGGGTGGGAGAAATAGACATGAGATTAAAAATGAAAGACAGAGATGAATGAAAGATGAAGAAATATGTGAAAGTGACGTTAAAGTAAACAATACTGGTCAAAAACAGTAGAAAAAAAGAACAGGGAAGAGAATAAAAGAAAGGAAAATATAAAGAGAAATGAAGGAAATATCTTGAAATGAGAAGAAAATGACAAATAAATAGACAAAATTACAAAGAAATATCTGAAAAATACGTTTATTTATCAGGCTTAAATTAGTATTAGGCACGATTCGGATGAGAGGCAACCAAAGAATATATACAAATGCTTTTTTAATAAACGTTGAATAGTGTGGCACAAGCAGTAGGGATATAATAAAGGGTAAATAAATGTAGTAGATAAAAGCATAAATAGGATAAAATGAAGAAAAAGAATGAAGAGGATCGAAAATAAGAAATACAGAAGAAGAAAAAGATGATGATGATGATGATGATGATGATGAGCAAAAAAAGGAGACGAAGAAGAAGCACAGCCGCTACAAATTAAAGATAGAGATAGAAAAAGTAAAAAGAAAGAAAGAAAGAAAGAAAGAAAGAAAGAAAGAAAGAAAAAAAGAAAGAAAAATGGAATAGATAAGGATGAAACTTAAAAATGGCAGAAGGGGGACAATAATAAGAAAAAGGAGAAGAAAGGGGAGAAGAGGGAGAGGAAGAACAGACGAAGAAGAAGAAGAAGAATATGTTGATGATGATGAAAAACAACAACAGGAGACGTGTAAGAAGAATAGCAGATACAAATTAAAGATAGAGATAGATAGAAAAAGTAGAAAGAAAGAAAGAAAGAAAAAAAAGAAAGAAAGAATGTAAGAAAGAAAGGGAGGAAGAGAGAAAGAAAATGGAATAGATAACGATGAAGCCTAAAAGTAATAGAAGAAGAAGAAGAAGAAGAAGAAGAAGAAGAAGAAGAAGAAGAGGAAGATGATGATTATGATGGAGATGATGATGAAAAACAACAACAGGAAACATAGAAGAACAGCAGATACAAATTAAAGATAGAAATAGAAAGAAAGAAAGAAAGAAAGAAAGAAAAATGGAATAGATACGTTTGAATACTAAAAATGACAAAAGGGGAACAATAACAAGAAGAAGAAGAAGAAGAAGAAATAAAGAACAACAACAATAATAATATGAAGATATAAAGATGTGGCACGATAATTATTTGTAAAAGTAGTTGAAGAAAAAGACAAAGAAGATGAAAAAGAAGACAAAGAAGAAGAAAAAGAAGACAAAGAAGAAGAAAAAGAAGACGAAGAAGAAGAAAAAGAAGACGAAGAAGAAGAAAAAGAAGACAAAGGAGAAGAAAAAGAAGACAAAGAAGAAGAAAAAAGAAGGAGAAAGAGCTGAAGAAAGTAAAAGTAAGATTTTAAAAAGGAATGAAAAAATACAAAATAAAAAAAATTAGAAAATGAGAAATAAAATATTTTAGGAAGAAAGAAATAGAAGAAAATTTACAAAGACAGGAAATATATACATTGCAATATATATATATATATATATATATATATATATATATATATATATATATATATTAGCATTTGGTTTACTTTTGTTTTGGAGACCATTTTAACGCAAGGCTTGTTGGTAAATGTATAAAATGCTTCTTCAGGAAGATTATTCCCGTTTTAGCCAGAAATTTAGGCAAAGACTTTATTTTCAGGTACGAATCTTTTCGTGACGTGCACCGATATTTAGAATGATGTGAACGAGAAAAAGGTTTATTTCCACGTGGAACGGAGACAAGTTTTATTGTACCTTTAATTCGTATTTCTTACTTTATTTTAGTGATACTTATATACAATTACTCGAGACTCTTCTCAAAATATGACATCGATCTTGACGCAGAATTGCAAAGAGCGCTAAAACCTCAATTAATACGAATAGATATTCACACTGATGCTCCAGTAAGTAATGGATGTGTATTGCAATTTGACTACATACATACATACATACATACATACATACATATATATATATATATATATATATATATATATATATATATACTGTTTATACGTTATTTTTATAGATAGATTTACCGGCCTGGATGTTCGAGTAATTTCGTAGAAAATATGTGTTTACCGACAGGAATCGAACCTGTATTTCTATACTGAAACTATCATTTGACCTGACGTGCTGTACCATTCAGCTACAGAGAAGCCTCTGGTTGGCAGTGTCCGAATTACTGTTTATAAACACACAAACCTCGACGATTTTTCTCGAGCGATCATTTCTGCTCACGAAACAGCTCTTAACCTAAACAATGACAACCTACAATGAAACTGATTAAGTCCGACCATTATTTAAATTAATTATAAATTATAATATATATAATTATTTTATATATTTTCTGTTTCTACGTTATTTTTATAGATACAATTTATTTAAGTAAATGCTCTGTTTTTAATTAAACTGCATTAATTGCATTTACCTGCCTGAATGTTCAATGTCAATTTCAAATGACGGTTTCCTTGTAGGAATACAGGTTCGATTCTTGCCGGAGACATATTTTCTGCGAAATTTCTCGAACATTTAGGCAGGTGAATGTAATTAATACTTTTTAATTAATAACAGAACAATTCCTTAAGTAAATAAATTGTATCTACAAAATAACTTATAAATAGAAAATATATCAAATAATTGCCGGATTTAATCTATTTCATGATTTCATATTATATATATATATATATATATATATATATATATATATATATATATACATGCACATTTCATTGAATACGGTAAACAAGGTGCTTTGATTTAGTTTTTATACAATTTATACAAATATGAAACTTTTTAACTGTTAAATAAGAAATACTTTGTTGCATGTATATATTTATTTAATTTCATCCTTGAAAATGACTAAACGTATAGCCGAAAGCGCTCGGATTAAAAGAACATTTGGACAGTTTTTATATAATTTATCATCGGAAAAGAAAAAAAATATTAGATCACATGAGAAATTGTGTAAAAATACTAAATTAAAGCACCTTGTCTGTCGTATTCAGTGAAATGTGCATGGATTACTGCCAAAATACACAAATTATATATATATATATGTGTGTGTGTGTGTTCATGTGTGTGTTCGTGTGTGTTTGTGCAAATATATAGGAAAATAGTTGCAAATATATAGAAAAATAGGAAAAAACCGTTGCGTAAATAATCCGAAGTTCTTTAGTATTTTTGTTTTTATTTTTTTAAAAACAGTGCTCAATGCAGAGATTAAATTATAATTATTTTTTAAAAATATGATTCCATCGCTACATAAGATTTCTCATGTTTCAAAAACAGAAGCTAAAAACTTCAATTATAAAAATTAAATTGAAGTACCCAGCTCTGTTTCATCCTCAAGCGAATTTTGTAATAAGTAATCTTGAAATTTAAGGAGCTTTATAAGTATATACATTCGTAATATTAATTACTATGGAAACGGCGAAACCAATATTTTAACAAGGAACGTAAGCGTTTACATTTTCACTGACAACTATTGTATCAACATATTAGTTACTTTAGGAAAGAGGTTAAGTCAAGGTAGAGTCGAGGTGCCTATTTTCAAGCGAATATATATATATATATATATATATATATATATATATATATATATATATATATATATAATTTTGCCTCTTGCGATGCCAGGCGGCTCTGTAATAATTTATTAAATAAGCCCGTCTTCCATTCCTCCTCTCTTCACTTAGTGTTAACATCTGCTAATAACGCAGTATGTTTTGCTCGTAAATTCTCTTTAAACTAAATTCTTGACTCATCTGAAATATCCTTGCCTGACTTTCCTCTTAGAATTGACTCTCTGCTATGCCAAGTTGTCCTGCTGAAGTACTTGTGCTCCTAAACTGGTTCCTGTTTTCTTAGAACTCTACAATAAATGCCTGGCTTCATCTTGTTTTCCTGCTTGTTGCAAATCCTCATCTGCAGTTGCTGTCTTTAAAAACTGAGGTGGACAGTCTGACCCTTCCAACTATCGGCCTGTGAGCATTCTACCTGTTCTTGGCAAACTACTAGAGGTTCTAATAAACTCAGAATTGGCCCAGCATTTTCAATCGCAGGAGCTTCTTCAGAGAAGCAATATGGCTTTCGCTTCCGTAGGTCAACTGTTGATGTATTAACGATGATTACTGAAATAGTCTATCAAGCTTTAGATAAGAATGGTAATGTTCGGAATGTTGTTTTGGATATCTCAAAAACATTCAACATGGTTTGAAATACCAGTCTTTTTCAAAAGTTGAAAGCCTATGGTATTTCTAGAAGAATTTTTGAACTGATTCAGGCATTTTTACCAAATCTCGAAATGAAAGCTGCCCACTCTTCTAGATCTTTTTGTATCAATGCAGGTCTCTCCCAAGGCTCTGACCTTGGACACACTTTGCTCCAAATTTTCCCCAGTGACCTCCCAGATGTCATCAGTTTTCGACTTCGTATCTGTGTTAAATGACACACAACCATTTAGAACTGTCTTAATTGTTAGTTTAATCATAGTAAGTTATATAAGGTCGAACTGGCAGCTGATCTAAAAAAAAATGACTTACAATCTACTTTTGACTGAGGCAAGGAATGACTTGTTAATTTTAACTCTTCCAAGAGGAAACTTCTCTCTAATTTTGCATTAAAGCTTCCATCAGCATTACGGATACTAATCTTCAGGAGAGTGATTCTTTGCGCCTTCTCCGAATAACATTCTCTGCTGAGATAAAGTGGAATGATTATATTGAATCAGTTGCAATGCTTTCTGCTGAGAAATTTGGTTCAATGTGTCGTGAGAGATAATGCCTTCAACAAAATATATTTTGAACGCAATTGTATGACTTCAACTGAATATATTTTAAACTCAGTTGTATGACTTCATCTGAATATATTTTGAACGCAATTGTATGACTTCAACTGAATATATTTTAAACTCAGTTGTATGACTTCATCTGAATATATTTTGAATGCAATTGTATGACTTCAACTGAATATATTTTAAACTCAGTTGTATGACTTCATCTGAATATATTTTGAACGCAATTGTATGACTTCAACTGAATATATATCGAACGCAATTTTATGTCATCAGTATCTCATAAAATGTATTGCTGTTCATTTTGCAATTAAAATGTATTTTTTTATACTTTCATAGTTTTTTTGTTTTTGTTTTTGTTCACGATTTTCTCATAGATGAGACCCAACAGGTACTACTATCCCGAAACAGGATAGACCTGGGAACAACAGCATTTAAAAGGTGGTTCTAGGATTATCAGAATCACTAATCTGATCAGAGGTTTTGCTGCTGGATGTCATAACCATGGCCATTTACAATTGCGACCTCATGACCACTGAACAAAAGCGCATTAAATAAGAAATATTTTTCCTCAACAAATCCAAACCAAGACTCAACTCACTACACAAACCAGACATACATCGCTGAAAATCGATTATATCATATTTTCGTCACCATAAGCGACAGATGAACCAGTTACATCCCTTGTTTTTTTCTTTTATTCCGAACATAAGCGACAGCAAGTGGTAATCTGATAAAAATTTGTAAACTTTTGAAAAGCCACAATTTTAATAATTCTCTGCAAACATGTATTACGAACAACACATATAAATATAAAAACATCAGTTACTTTTTCAAATCTTTTATTTGATCGGGATCACCCCCATGGGGTTACGGGATGTGGAAAAATTAGAAACAGAAACCTTAATAATGAGCAGGAAGAGGAAAGAGTAATTAGGTGGAGAGTAGATAGATAATGATATTTCATTTAAATTTTTGGAGATTAAAGTTGGCTGTGAACTGTAAGCATAGAATTTACGGTTACATCTAAAAAACTCAACTGTAAATTGATTAGATCTCGACGTTAGTCTAGTACTGCTCTTCAAAAACCCTACGTCCCCTAGCAAAGAGCGATATTTATTTGTAAATATTTACAAAATGTGGCACAAGGCCAAAATGGGGAAAAGGACGGTCTTCATTTGTATTAATTTTAAACTTAGCTAGCCACAAACACTGACCTAAACATACAACAGTATTCCTTACACTAAAACAACGCATTCATGCTTACCTTTCTTACTACATCCAACATAATACCTCATTGTCTCTAAGAAAATTCTAACTAGTTCCCATATGTACCATGTCGAAGAGCTCATCTGAACAATAGCCATGAAAGTATTTATAGAAATGACACAGATTGGCAACCTTATGCCTGTGAGAAATTGAATGAAGCCGAGCCGCCAGATCAGGACCAATAATATTGCTGATTCTTGTTTGGATTCTATCATGGAGCTCAAGATATTTAAATTCTTATTATGTTCTCTCTTTCCCTACCTTTCTCTTTCTCTCTCTCTCTCTCTCTCTCTCTCTCTCTCTCTCTCTCTCTCTCTACATATATATCTATATTTCATTTGTATTTTCACTCTTTAGTTAAAAAAAAATAAAATGGTTTCCATCTTTATTAATTTTGTATAATAATTAATCTTCAGCATAATCACTTTTGTTAATATATTTAATTCAGTGGCGACAATTAATCAACTCTAATTGGCATAAATTCTTGCACTTTTCGAAAAGTTCTGTCCGACTGGCCAGAAAGTTCTTTTCATACTTGGTCGAGCGAAAATAAAGTTCTGTTAGTTAGCCGCGTGTAACAAAGTGTATCAGTCTGGACCGGTGTCGCTGTCTACAAGGTTGATTAAGCACTGAAGCCCATTTGTGAAGTGTTTCCATTGATTACGATTTTATTGCCTTCGTTGAAATACGGTCATTAATAGCCAATTGCAGACGCCCCATGTTTCTCATCTCGAAAAACGATGATCATGATCCAGACGTATTAGTTA